GAGGGTAAGGGGTGACCTGACAGAGGTCTTTAAAGTGATGAAAGGTTTTGATAGGGTAGACATAGGGAAGATGTTTCCACTTGTGGGGGAGACCAAAACCAGAGGCTTTCAATATAAAATAGTCACAAATAATAATAATAATGATAATCCTTGCATTTGATATAGTGCTTTTCACGTCTTCTAGACGTCTCAAAGCACTTCACAGAATAGACTGTAAAGTGCATTGACTGTACACTTTGTGGGTGAAAAGCAGTAGCCAATTGCGCACAGCAGTGTCCCACAAAAAGTCGTGGATTGAAATGACCAATTTATTATTTTTTTTGAGGGATTATTATCAGGTGTGTGGAGTAAGGAAACTTGCCCAAGGTTTCACCCTGCTGGGAATCGAACCCAGGTCTCTCTCTTGCAAAGAATACTGCACAAGTGAGTTCTATACAAGTAGCTATTGAGGCCAAGACCATACTTAGATCATTGACTAAATAGTTAAAGAGGAATATAAAAGAACATAAGATGGAGTAGAGAATAGAAATTAGAGTTGTTAGCTTCAACAACAAATTACATTTGTATAGCGCCTTTCACGTCAGGAGGTCGTCCCGCTGGGAGGAGCTAGAACCAGCTCAATGAGTCAAATGGCCTCTTTCCGTGCTATGATTTCCAGGATTTAAAAAAAACATTTTAGCACTTAAGTGGATGCAATTCAAAGATGTTTGAATTGATCAAATAGATCAAATAGGGAAGTTAGAAGAAATTTCTTCACACAGAAAGTAGTGGGAATGTGAAATATGCTACCACAAGGAGTTATTGAGGCAAATAGCATAGATGTATTTAAGGGAAAGCTAGATAGGTACATGATTGAGAAAGGAATAGAAGGTTATGCTTGAAGTATTAGCTGAGGAAGGGCAGGAGGAGGCTTATGTCAAGCATAAACACCGACATAGACCAGTTGGGCCAATGGCCTGTTTTCTGTGCTGTATATTCTAATATATTCTAATGTACACTGTTGATCCAAACTTTTCAATCTCGTCTATTCTCATATTGTCATGCATCCCACCTTATGCCCCCTCATGCTACCATCTGAATCTGCAGACCGAGCTTACAGCTCAATTGGAAGCTCATTTCACAAGCTAACAAGCTAATATTTCCTCTAAACTACAATTGCCATCAGCTTCCTAATCAGTACATATCTGTAGGCTCCATTAGAGAATGAATAGTGAATCCTCATACCCACTCTATTTCACGTATGCAATTAACCTCCCACACATTTTTATGTTGTCAGTAAAATTAGGGGTATTGCAGCTTAAAAATCTACATGTTTGTCTCCTCTTTAAAAAGATCAATTGTTTCCGTGTGCAAATAGGAATGTATGAACATCAAGTTGAGATTTAAAAGTCACTTCCCGCCCCCTCTCCTGAACACAGTGACTTGTGCTGCAGTACAATGTTTGTGGACAAAGGCAGCTCTCCAGTATTTTACACAAGTGGCTATTCAAGCGGTCTGAGACCCTGGGTATGAAAGGCGCTATATAAATGTAAGTTGTTGTTGTTCATGCAGTCAGCACAGATGGGTAGTGCTACCAGGCTGTTTGACTACAGACAGATACTTGGCCAACAACAATGCTGTGCTCACCACAGATATCGATACAAGGGTCACTGGACAATATTCAATACAATGAACCTCTGCTGCTTTTTATCTTCTCAAATTCAGGGCCACTCAGGTCCCTCCAATCACCTTTGCCACTACCCGACCTTCCTTAACAGTTTGAGGATCAAACTTCAGAACCACCATACATGGTGTATTAATTCAAACCACAGCGGAGCCCTCAATCTGATTCCACACATTGATTTTAATTCAGCTGTACAGCCCAATTTACAATGTATCACATTAGAATATATTAGAATACACAGCACAGAAACAGGCCATTCGGCACAACTGGTCTATGCCAGTGTTTATGCTCGGCATGAGCCTCCTCCTGCTCTTCCTCAACTAAGCCTTCAAGCATAACCTTCTATTCCTTTCTCCCTCATGTACCTATCTAGCTTTCCCTTGAATACATCTATACTATTTGCCTCAACAACTCCTTGTGGTAGCATGTTCCACATTCCCACTACTCTCTGTGTGAAGAAATTTCTTCTAACTTCCCTATTTGATCCATTTTCTATTGATGGCCCCTGGTTTTGGTCTCCCCCACAAGTGGAAACATCTTCCCTATGTCTACCCTATCAAAACCTTTCATCACTTTAAAGACCTCTGTCAGGTCACCCCTTACCCTCGTCTTTTCAAGAGAAAAGAGTTCAAGTATGTTCAGTCTTTCCTGATAGGTATAACCTCTCAGTTCTGGGATCATCCTTTTTGAATCTCCTTTGCACCCTCTCCAGTGCCTCTACATCCCTTCTATAATGTGAGGACCAGAACTGCAAACAGTATTCTAAGTGTGGTCTAACCAAGGTTCTATAGAAGTTTACCATAACTTCCCTGCTTTTCATTTCTATCCCTCTAGAAATGAATCCCAGTGCCTGGTTTGCTTTTTTTATGGCCTTATTAACCTGGTTTACTACTTTTAGTGAATTCTGTATGGTACCCCTAGATCCCTTTGCTCCTTTACCCCATTTAGGTTTTTATTTTCTAATAAAATCACAAGAAGTCCTTTGATATCTTTTCATGAGATGACTTTCCTAAAGGCTCAAAAAAATCTAGATTTCACCGCCCTCCCCTCCTCCACCCTCCATCACCACACACACGCACAGCTGCATAATTGCTCGTGTTCTCTCAGCATTTATATCCCTGGTATTATCCGTGCATAAGTACCATCAGTGGGGAGACCTGCGCTCATTCTCTGGAACTCTATCTCAGAATCCCTCCAATTTGTTCCCTGCTTCTTTGACCATGCTTTTGGTCATCTTTTCCATCCCAACTTCCCTCTGTTCCAGCTGATCAGCTGCCATTGTCGAGCACTTTGTGATGTCTTCCTGACATGAAAGGCACTGTATAAATATACATTTGTATTGTATTGCACTGGAACAGCCAAAAGCTTGCTCCTAATTATTTCAACTTATTCTTTATAGTCTGTTCACATCATTCATTTTATTAGGATTCACCCACAATACAAAAAGTCTACTTGGTGCAAAACCCCTGCTTTCACTGATTATTATAAAATAATGAATGGATTTCTGTGTGGATGATATTTGATTTCTGTATCATTTCCTGCTTGAGATAAAATGAAGGCAATGGGGAGACAACTGAGTTTTTGTTTCCTCGTGTAATCTTATTACAAAATGTACACTGATGTGAGGTGGGCATTTTACATATGTCAACTTCAATTTGTCTCATCAAAGGAAATCTACAGATGGACTATAATTACTGCTGGAGATTTTGTACACATTCCAAGTGCAGTAAAGCTTCGTATCAGCTCACATTGGCATTATCTGCCAATTCTCTTTCTTACTCTTTCTTCCAGTGTTATGTCTGAGGGTTCTGACCTCCATTGTCTCCTGTTCTCTGCAGCTCACACACCTCTATAAATAACACCGAACTCTGTTTAGTGTTGATACTCTCTTGAGTATAGTGATGGGTTTCTGCATGTATAAGACATCAGGCCTACTTTCACCCAACCCACCCCTCAAAAAATAATTGAAACCCTTCACTTCTTTTCTAATTGATTTTAGAATCAATGTTTATTGATTTATGCACCATCTCTGGCCGTGCTTTCAGCCACCACGTCCCGAAACTATGGTAATCTCTGCCTCGAACCTTTTGCCTTGCCTACTCCTGCCTGTCTTCAGATCACACCTGACGACCTTCCTCTTTGACCATGCCTGCAATCACCTTTCCCCTCTCACTGGCTCGATGTCGTGCTCTCCATTGTTAAGCACTCTGAGGCACTGAATAAATCCAGGTTGTTGTTGTCAATTTGATGTTAAAGATCATCGTGTCTGTGCCAGCCACAAGCTCATCGTGTCTGTGCCAGCCACAAGCTTGTGTATGTGCCAACCACAAACTCACTGTCTGTGCCAGCCACAAACTCATCGTGTCTGTCCCAGCCACAAGCTCATCGTGTCTGTGCCAGCCACAAACTCACTGTCTGTGCCAGCCACAAACTCATCATGTCTGTGCCAGCCACAAACTCATCATGTCTGTGCCAGCCACAAGCTCATCGTGTCTGTGCCAGCCACAAACTCACCGTGTCTGTGCCAGCCACAAACTCACCGTGTCTGTGCCAACCACAAGCTCATCGTGTCTGTGCCAGCCACAAACTCACCGTGTCTGTGCCAGCCACAAACTCATCGTGTCTGTGCCGGCCACAAACTCATCGTGTCTGTGCCGGCTACAAATTCTACAAAACAAATCAGAAAACATATCCTTTCAGAATTTGACTTCAAGATTTCTCGGACCTCAGTGGAAGCTGTCGCTCAGCGTGGTATCCAACAATCATGCAGGCCTGAGACTTTCATTCCCTACTTTGTGTGGGGTTAGCTGGTGTCTGTGAGGTTGAGCGTGATGTCTCTACGGTTAGCTTCTATCTGGTGAGACCTGAGGGAAGGTGCATTTATTCTAAAACCACATACCAACAGGATTAAGCTCTGCCCAATATAACACACTCAACCTCTCACATGAGGAAAAGGCGCTTGGGCCAAGTCCAGTGTTTTGGGTATCAATTAAGTTATTTTAAGGCAGGAGTTTAGTAGATATGGTGTGTGTGTGTGTGTGTGTGGGGATGGAGGGGGGGGGGGGAGGCTCCTAATTTCTTAGCCATAACTTTGTCTGTAAAAACACCCAAACACTAAACCATGTGCAAATCATAAATATCCTTATCAGACTTCCTCTGTTGGCAAAGGCGTGTTTTAGTTTGAGATATTACAATTCAGGAAGTAGGAGTGAACTTCGGACAAAACTTGATTTAGTTGCGGATGGTCAGTGGGAGAAAGCAGTGCAAAAGGCAAACTCTTTGGAAAGGGACGGGGAGGAGGGGGAGGGGGAGGGGAGGGAGGGAGGGAGGAAGGGGGGAAGAAGAAGAAGAAGAAGAAGAAGAAGAAGAAGAAGAAGAGAACGAAATATGTTTCCTCTGCTCTTCATTTCGCTTTGGCTGCGGACTCATTCGGCCTCAGGGTCGCAGTCCGGGGCCGCGAGCGAGAGGTTTTGCGATGGGCAGAACTGTTACGCTGTGCAGTGGGGCCACGTGTCGTTCGGGGAGGCCGCGGACATGTGCCGGAGGAGAGAGGGGGTCCTGACCAGCATGAGGAGCCCCCGAGAGGCCGACTCCATCCGACGGCTTCTCCTGAGCGCGCCGGGCGCCGAGTACCCGCTCAGCCTGTGGATCGGACTCCGCAAAGGGGCCAAAACCTGCTCCAGCCCCGAGGGGCGACTGCGTGGCTACGCGTGGCTCAGCGGAGACGCCGCCTCCAACTACAGCGCCTGGGCCCGGGAGCCCCCGACCACCTGCACGCACGAGTTGTGCGTGTCCTTGGAAGTCCGCCTGGAAAGGCAGCGCCGGCTCGGGTTCGGGTGGAGCTCCTCCAAGTGCGGGAGGACCCGCGGCGGCTTCGTCTGCAGGTCCCGGCGGCCGCCCCCCCCGGGCACCTGTCCGCTCCTGCGGGCGGCCGAGGGTACCCGGATTTCTTACGCGCGCCCCGACCCGGGCGGCGGGGGGCCGTCCCCCCGGCGCCGGCCCCGGGACTGCCCCGGGACTCGGTGGCTGTGGTCTCGTGCGCGAACGGCCATTCCGTGGCACTGCGATGCGAGCAGCGGGAGGCGGGGCTCGGGTGGTCCCGGGACAGCCCCGCCGGCCTGTGCCACGAGTGCGGGACGGGGCGCGGTCGGTGCCCGCACGGCTGCTTCGACGGGGCTGAGGGTTACTATTGCCACTGCGGTCGGGGCTTCGCGGTGGACCCGGGGCGAGGTCGGTGCGTGGCTGAGCTCGGACGGGAGGCGTCGCCCGGCACCGAACCTGTGGGAGGCAACTCCTCAACCAGCGTTGCACCCGTTCCTCCTCCTCCTCCTCCATCATCATCATCAGCAGCAGCAGCAGACACCCGACCCTCAGCTCCACCCCCGCCCCGTCCGGCGGGTCCCCCGGGCGCCACCCCGACCCCTACCGCCTCCGGCCAGGATCGAGCAGCCCCGAGCCACCCGAACCGGCTGTTCGTCCCGGTCCTCATCGGGCTGTCGGTGCTGGTGCTGCTCATCGCGGCGGTGGTGGCGATCTTCCAGTGCTGCTTCAGGAAACCGGGCGCCAAGCGGCAGCCCCCCCGGGAGGCGGCCCCCTCCAGCGACCGGAGCTCACCGCTGTTGCAGGTGAGCAGCACCGACCCCGCGGCGCGGGCAGCGGCCGGGAGCCCGGAGACCCGGACCGACAGATCGGCACCGGTGGCCGCCGACCTGAACCGCCGCGCGGAGGCGACCCCCTCCTCGCCGGTCAGCGAGGACCTCAGCCACGGGTCCCCCCCCCCCCTCCCCTCCCCTCCCCAGGCGAACGGTGAGCTGAGCGACTCTGCAGAGCACCGACCGGACTAAGCGTCACCCTCACGTCCCACCAAACTTACAGCTTAACGACAGCACAGGGGTTCATTATTATTTTTTTTTGGGGGGGGGAGGAGGAAAAAAAAACTTTGCAATTAAGCGATTCGTTAATTACTAACAACGACAACAACACGTTGTTGACAACAACACTCATGTCGAGAGAGGACGTCCCGAAGGCTTTTTGGGGGTCAAGTCAAGTTGCAACGTCGGTCTTCTGACCTGGAGGGTCGGTATTCGCTTACAAATGAGAGAGATCTCGGCCACGAGGAGGACCTCCCAGTCGATCCTATCCGTTCGAGTTAAACGATCAGGGTTTTTTTTTTGGCCGAATTTTTTTTTTTTTTTTTTAAAAAAAAACATCAACAACAGCAAAGAGCAATTCCGGGTTTTAACAATGTTAACGATTCTGTTTAACGATGACCAGGATTTTCAGGCCGTGAGCAAATACTGATCCGCCCGAGAAAATCAACGTTGGAAGGACAATTTGCTCAAACCTGCCTCAGTTGAAGACCCAGTGGACATGTTGACCGTGACTTGATGGATGGACACGGTTTCCAGGAATTGTGTCATGCAGTTACTGTTGTTTTGTTTTGTACAGCAGGAAAACTGTTATCTTGCATTTGATATATTAGCTTCGCATCTTTCCACTGAAAAGCAATGAAATAATTAGCGACACTAAAGCCATCTCCTGACACAAGTTTGAACCTTTTTACAGTGCTGCAAACTTGCTTAAAGAGTGTCATTTATCCGACTGCAGAATTACCACTATTGATCAGCACCAAATAACTGCAGGTACAGCAACGAGCAATAGTATATTAACACCGCCTGTGATCAACTGGGCCTTATTTGTACTGAGGGATGTTTAAAACTAGAAACATCTACACTATTTTAAACAAATCCTTATTGTTCATCTCACTTCAAAACCTGTACCTGACCACATTAAATTACGCCCACATACAAAGCAAGTAATTGCCGCATTCTGTTGGGGACATTTAATGGGACTTTCATTGTCATTGATTCAACGCCGTGACCAAAAGTATTCAATGTGAATAATGTTTCAGTAACACTGTCCCAGCGTAGGGTGCGAGCAGCCAAGTCGGGGTTTCGAAGGAATACCGGTGTGATTTCTAAACGATTTGTGTCTGCTGTTCTTAAACACAGCTGCCGAGGAAACCTACCAGCCACATGTTGTTTTAAAACAGGAATTGCTCTACTTTTTGTTGATCAAAACAGATCTGAGCGGCAGTTAAATCTGTAACCGTCGTGGTATTAGATGTTAAGAGTTTCTGGTGCCCCATTGTATCTTAAAAATCTGTTGTAAACGTTTCCCTTTTAAAAAAACGAAACTTTCTGTCTCCTATTTCTAGCAGATCCTTAACCAAGTGCTCCTACGTGTAACGTGTAATGTTTGCAAATATCCCTTTCTCAACGCTTGAACCATATTCCTGTTAACATTAAAAAAACACTCCGTGCGAAAGGCATTGCTGAAACCGGGTCGTGGAGTTAGCTCTGGATTATTGCAAACGCAACAAGTTACGTGAATTGTCAGTCGTTTCGTATACGTACACTCACAGATCAACAGGAAGGTGGGAAACACAGCGACACATTCCCTAATGGTAATTAAACCACTTGCTGAACACTTGAAAGATTTGCACTGTAGTTCCCTAAATTCACTTAACGCCTTGGGGGAAGGGAAGTGGGAGGCTGGGGGGGGGGGGGGGGGGAGGGGGGAGGGGGGAGACACAATCACACACCAAATTCCCACCATCTGCTTTTTAATGTCTCTCGCTTTTGTGAAGCCACGCGTATTATTAATACTTTTATCAATAAAATACACAGGGAATTGATCTCGCCATATGGGAAGGGGGAGAGAGTGTGTGGGGGTTGGGGAGGGGAGGGGTGGGTGGGGGGTGGGGTGGGGTGAGGAGGGTTGGGTGCTCTTAAAAGTTACAATAACTGACGTTTCAAACATTACCGGATTACTTTTGTCCCTCCTCCAAAAAAAAATTGTTTTACATTTGGTCAAATGTTATACAGCGCGGCTGTCAGGCACAGACAATAACATTAACGTGGCCACAAAGTGGAAATAACAAAATACACACACACACATACACACATACATATACACTGAGCTACAGACAAATAGTGAAATCACCCCAAATCTCAATATTGGTGTTGTTTGTGTCTGTGTGTGTGTGTGTGTGTGGGTGGGGGGGGGGGGGGGGGGGGGGGGGGGGGAGTGGAGGTGTGTTGTTACAGCCTTAAGCCACATAATTGGGAGGGGGGGTGGGTGTCAGGGGGGGAATCCATGGAGAAACACGCCACTAAAACACAGATTTGTCTCATAAATAAATAGATAGATAAATAAAGAAATCAATTGAGGGGACAATCCCTGATACAACACGCCACAGAAACACACAGGTTTGTTCTATCAATAAATAAATATAGTACATATCAAGATGGGAGACAGTGCAAGCGGACATTTGGGATTTGGGATGGGTTGACTTCTAGCTACATACTGTGTAGGTTTAGGGGAGAGGAATGTGGGGCGGGTGTGGGTAGTGGTGGTGGTGGGGGGGTGTGGGGGGGTCAGTCAGGGTCACAGTGTTGTGGTCCTGGATGTACAAGTCCCGTTGCGATACACGCTGTCCTGCTCCAGGTGGTCTTGCTGAAAGTCCTCCACACTGTAAACTCTGCTCTTGAGAGCCGTGGCGTAGTAATCGATGGGTTCCTCGGCCACGTTGTCCATCCAACGCAGGCACAGGATCCTCTGGAAGGACCTCTTAAAGTTGTCCGATAGGAAACCGTACAGGACGGGGTTGGCACAGCTATTGGCGTAGCCCAGGATGACAGAGAGCTGGCTGATGGTGGTATCCTGTTGGCCCACGAACACATCGACCAACTGGACCACGTAGAAAGGCATCCAGCAGATGACAAACACAGTCACCACCATCATCACCATCAGCGTGATCTTGCGCTCCGACCTCTTGCGCTGTTGCCAGCCCGCTTTGAGCGCCACCACCCTCATCTTCATGATGATCAGGATATAGCAGAGGCAGATGGCAGTGACGGGGATGAGGAAGCCCATCAAGAAGGTATAAACCACGAAGACGGCGGGCCACCGAGTGCTGGGTTCTGGCATCTGCATGTTACAAGTGACCGAGCCATCAGAGGCGGTGGCCGTGTTGGAGAAGATGATGATGGGCAGGATGACTAGGATGGCGAGCAGCCAGACCGCCAAGTTGACCATTTTGGCTATGGTGGGTCTCCTGTAACTAGCCGCCTTGATGGGGTGCACCACAGCGATGTATCTGTCGGCACTCAGCACGGTCAGGCAGTAGACGCTGGTGAACATGTTGATGGCATCTACACTGAGCACCAGGCGACACAGCATCGATCCAAAGGGCCATTGACCCAACAGGGTGTAAGTCACCAGGAAAGGCACGCTCAGCATCAGCAGCTCGTCGGCGATGGCCAGGTTGAGGATGTAGATGTTAGTGGCTGTCTTCATCTTGGCGTACCTGAGGATCACATATATCACCAGAGAGTTCCCGCACAGCCCCACGAAGCACACCACCGAGTAGATGAAGGAGATCAGGATCGCGCTGCTGTTGGTGCCGTTCGCCGTCCCGTTTTGGGTCAGGTTGGCAGCGTCCGTGCCATCCATCGTGGCGAGGTGCCCGGCGGTGGCGTTGGGCAGCATCTTGCGGTGCTGATCAGTCCTCGTCCGTGTCCGCTCACAGTCTGAACGGCGTTTCTCCGAAGCTATGTTTCTCCTTTTTGTGCATTCTCACTGCCCTGAGTATATATATATATGTGTGTGTGTTAGAGAGAGAGAGAGAGAGAGAGCGACAACTGGTGATGTGAGTATGTGTTAGAGAGAGAGAGAGAGAACTGGTGATGTGAGTGTGTATTAGAGAGATAGAGAACTGATGATGTGAGTGTGTGTTAGAGAAAGAGAGAGAGAGAACTGATGATGTGAGTGTGTGTTAGAGAGAGAGAGAGAGAGAACTGGTGATGTGAGTGTGTGTGTTTGTTAGAGAGAAACAACTGGCGAGCGAGCAGGTGGAACTGTGCGCGGGGAAACCGTGCAAGTCCTGTCCACAGACGGATTAAACGCTGTCCTTCAGTGGGTTGAATGATGAATAGCTGAACGTCAGCAGCTGCTGACGTTACGTGTACAAGGAACCAAAGCAACTGTGGTTTGCATTGCTGTCAGTCAGAGACACCAAGAGAGAGGTCAGCCTCAGCCATCATCCAACTCCCGAAGCACTTTATCGTGATCTCCTCCCTCCGAAATTACAAGAGTGCTTACCATCACCACCTCTTAATGCTGCAAAAGGCTGATGATTAAATCGATCGCAAAGGATACTTTCCCTCCCCTCCCGCAGGTATATATTTTTTCGTGCAGATTTCAATCAATCACTCGCATTGTTTGTCGTTATCCTCGCTGGCCACGGTGAAAGCTCACGTCTCCCATCAATTGTACCTGCAAAAAAAAAAATCAATCAATACTTCCTCGACAAATCAATTCGAAGTAAAATAAATAAATAAATACACGACTGAAACAGGTCATATGAGTAAACTGCGCCTGGGACAACTTTTTCACGCCCAGGGAATGAATGGTCCACTTCCAAGGGCTGTGTGGTGCGCTGAAAGCCATGCGATTATCTGAATTTTAATATTTTTATTTCTAAACTATGATATCAGGGTCTAAGTGAATTTGTTATTTCACAATAGGTTTTGCTCTTCAACAGAATCCGGAAGTGACTCTTGGGCTTGTCAAGAAACAAACAATAATAATCCTTGCATTTGATATGATGCCTTATCACGTCGGTGAGACGTCTCAAAGCACTTCACAGAATATACTGTAAAGTGGACTGACTGTGTGTGTATTTTGTGGGCAAAAAGTAGCAGCCAAGCAAAGCAATATATTTTTAATCCAACCAGGTCTCTGCAGTGGTTTAGTTTTTATTGTGACATGAAAAGCTCTATAAATGCTCTGTAGCTGATTTATTTTCGCCCAGTCGGAAATATACTGAACTTTAAGAAAATATTCCCACTTAATATCCCCTTTGGTCTCAAAATAGGAGTTGGTTCACCAGTGGTTACAGAAAGCTGCTATCTGACCACATTGTTTCGTGTCTCTGTGGAGTTCATTTGGGAATATCATACCAAGTTGATTGAAACAGTTACCTTTTCAAATGCTTGAATTTCTCATGATTTTCATTGTTGATGTTTTTGCACTGATTGGCAATTATATAATAATAATAATCCTGGTATTTTATATAGCACCTTATCAAGTCTTCGAGACATCTCAAAGCGCTTAACCTTAGGGTTAACATCTCATCTGAAGGACAATACCTCCGACAATACAGCACTTCCCCAGCTCTCCATGAGAGTGTTATTCTAGACCAGTGGTGGGGCAGTCTTTTCAGTCAGCCAACAAAATCAATTTTCTTGATTGAATATTTGATGATTTGTGGAATAGATCAAGAAATATTCAATCAGGAAAAATCTGAAAACACACCACCGCTCGAACACAGACCTACCTAGACTAGTGCAAATCTTGGGGTGCTGCTTCTTGATGGCCAGCAAGCCACAGGTTAGCCACCACTGGCCTCGACCACGAGCAGAACTTGGACCTTCTGATCCTATGGGAGTGCTACCACCTGAGCCATACTGAGGTTTTATCTACAATCAGCTATGCTCTTTTCAAATTTAGACTAGGTCAATTTATTTACATTTGATTTCTTTCCATTTGTAGATTGGCTAATAAAAGTGACTATTTTCCTATGTAATATAAGTATGGTTATTTCGTTCATAAAACGCAAATGTGGCGAATGACACCACGTGACCTAGTTCACACATGTATGTGGGATTTTTCTAGCACAAGGTTCATCAAACAGGACAGATCTGGAAAAACTTGCACACAAGCAATGGGAAAATATTTGTGTGGTCACTTTCATTTGCAGTGTGTGGTAGGTAACCATAGTGACTCACTCCCACTGTCCTGTTTCGTCACAAATTAAAAAGACTAAATGAATAGATTCCTTTCTCCTTGACACCAAACTCACTGAATGAAAGTAAAAATAAAATAATCCAATCTTCCCACTGTTTTGAAATAACCAGTCAGTACCCTCACAGGGTACTGCCAAAGGATACAAAACAACTGTGGATATTTATCAATTTGATCACCCACCACCAACTGTTGGCATCAATGCCAGTAGCACATTGTTAGAATATACATTTTCTAACAACATTATTGTACATTGCAAAGATTCAAAGCAAAACAATAATTCAGCAAATATCGATAGTCTTAGTGCTATATGAAACCACCATACAGGATTCTAATCACACTGTTGACAAAGATGGCAAACATCAGAAGCTGTAGGTATTCATGAGATTCTGTCTATTTTCTCAGATAGTGCGGGGACTTCAGCCATTCCTGTTTGTGTAGCTATTGGTTAATTATTTTTGAGCAGAAAGAGTTCTCCACAATCTATCTTTTTTTCTTCTCTTCAGTACTTTTTATCATGTGCAAAAAAGAAAGCTAAGCAAAATCGAGGCATGTAAGATTTTTTGCTGGATCTATCTGGTATTGATTCATTCTGGAGTGTGAATGGCAATCAATCCCTCACATTATACTTTGCCCTCCAGCCATAAATTTCAAACAAGTATAATATTATCATGTCAGGATTAGTGCATTAGATTTGATGTGATTTAGTTGTGTTCATGCTGAACACAACTGAACTACACCAAAAGCTGACGAGTGTCAGGTATCACTGTGGCAATGTGACATTGGTATGTAACTGTCCATCCACTATGTCTACACCACTTAGTTTTCATATTCCTAATAGTGAAACAATATTGGAGCTCATTTCATCACTAGCTGGGGTGAGTCATGTAGGGCACACTAGTTTGAACTTTTACCATTGGTAGCACTGTTGCTTCTGGGTCAGAAAGTTGCGGGTTCAAGTCTTACATCTTGATTGTGAATTTATAGTCTGGAATGACACTTCAGTGCTGTGCTGGGGGAGCACTAATTTTCAGAGATGCCATCTTTCACCTGAAACATTAAACCTACTATATCTGGCCTGTCTGTTCAGGTGAATGTTAAAGATCCCATGACACTATTGGAAAAGAAAAATGAGTTTCTCCCAGTGTCCAGATCAATCTTCCTGATATAGCTGATCAGCTGTTTGTGGGATTTGCTCTGTGCAAATAGTCTGCCGTGTTCTCCAACAAAAACACAGGAATTCTTGTGAGATTTCAACATTATTGGTGCTACATCAAATGCAAAATGCAAAGATTATTTATATGGAATATTATTGCAATAGCAGTGAATACCTAAGTGCTTGCCTTATTAAGTGATTATTGAACCACTTCAGCTGTACTTACCAGCATAAAACTTGACACTAAATCCATCATTCCATAAATAATAGGTAAAGAAAAACAGATTATCCTGCACAATGAGCAGTCATTTATCAACAGGTGAGTGAGTCATAAGTAGATTTGCACTACATCCTTAGTCTTTCCCTTGTTGAGTATCTGTCTCTTTCATATCATATCCTGAGGAGTAATTTGGCAACCCATGTCTGAACAGCTGTTCAGCTACCAGTCCCTCCTTGTTTCAGACTGTGCAGGTAGTTCCCTGTGTGGGGGGCTTTATGAATGCAAGTTGTTGTTGTTGTCGTTGCATTAACTGGTCTTTTTCTGCTCGCTGTCCTTTGCAGCTGTCCATGGTCCTGTATAACAGCTGGTCCCTCTCTCTGCACTGGGTGCTTTGCATGCTTTAAACATTTGCACTTTTCAGTACAACTTTTCTTATGCAGGACATTTCTCCTGTTTCCTACATCTGTGGTCAGAGAGCTGTCATCTCAGGTGTCAGCTTGGCTTAGTTGGGAGCATTCTCACTTTTGGGTAAGAAGGTTGTGGGTTCAAGCCCATGTTTGGATTTGAGCTCCAAGCCTAAGTTGCGGCTAGAATGCTGTCCTGTGCAACGCTGCACTACCATCATTGCTATCTTTCATGTGAGAATTTAAACAGAGCTGTCTGTTCAGGTGGAAGTTAAAGATCCCATGACCGCATTCATAACAAGAAATGATTTTCTCCCAGTAACCTGGGAAGCAATTCCCTAAGTAAATTGATTCTTCGCTTCATGGCTTTGAGCCATTCTCCCAAAGTGAAAAATGCCATATTAAATTCAAGGATTATTACAATATATTATTTTAAATGTTCTTTCCTAGTGACCAGACTACAAACTTCTGAACTGAATCTGGCCACAGTCTCTTTTACCTGTACATTAAACTAATAATACTTGTATTCAACTAGCTGTACGTACCCATTGCAGCTTCGCTTGCAACCAAAGCATCCTGTATGGAATGTAGATTGGCACACAGACAGACACACAGACAGAAATTTTGTCTTTGTCTATACTCAGCTGGGAGGACTCCTGTGGAAGGACTCCTTTTGGGAGGGCTCCGTTTAGGAGGTCACCTGTTGGGAGCATTCAGTGAGCGTTCACTGAGGCCTGTTAGGAAGACTCAGAAGGAGGCCTCAGTGGGAGGACTCCTATTGGTAGGACTTCTGTGGGAGAACTTCTGGTTGTGAGGACTCCTGTAGGGAAGACTCCTGTAGGGAGGACTCCTTGTTGTGACGACTCCTGTAGAGAGGACTCCTTGTTGCGAGGACACTTATTGGGAGGTCTCCTTGTTGGAGTGCCTATATGTGTGATGAGCTTGTTTAGATCATAGCTTTTCTCTGCGCTAGTTTGTTGCAGAATATATTAGTATAGATGTATCCTCTAGAAGGGTGTAACATAAGAACATAA